GATGTGTGCAGTTGACAACAAGAACAATCAAGAGAGAACTTGTTCCCTGGGATACATAGTTAATGACGGGGCATCGCTAAATTATCGAATTATCCAGAAAATCGACGCTATACGAGAGAGAAGCCCGTTGCAACGATTGGATGTTGTCGGATATTGGATCAACATTAGTTGAAAAATCCGGACGTCTTTTGGACAACAAAAACTTCCAAGAGATATGTATGACGAAACAGGCAATTGCCTTCGGAGGAACCCAGGCGTCGCAAGGCAGGGAGAGTCGATGCAACGGGGAGCTACGACATCGAAAGAGTTGCTTTCTTGTGACGATTGAATGCTGTTGTTGGATCAGTAAGATTTGGAAGGCTGGACCTCTTTGGAACAAATACATTGGACGTACGTCTTTGACGCAACTATTTTAGACGGCAAAACTTCCAAGAGATATGTTTGACGACACAAACAATTCCCATGACAGACAGGAGGAATCCATGCATCACAAAAGCGAGTCGACGCTACCGGCAACTACAATATCGAAAGAGATGCTTCTGGTGACGGGATGATGTTGTTGGATGTTGGATCAATAACATTTGGAGATTCTGGACGTCTTTGGATCAAACACATTGAACGTAAAACGCACGACTTTGACGCAAGTATTTTGGACAACAAAAACTCCCAACAGAATCGTTGGACGACAAAAGCAATTACCTTTGGAGGAATCCATCAGTCGCAACGACGAGTCTCTGTCAGAGATACAAATCCATGCGACGCATTGATGGGCCGATGCTCCGGGCCACTACAGTTTCGAAGGAGATGCTCCTTGCCACCATTGGATGCTGTTGGATCAGTAACATTTGGATAATCCGGACGTCTGTGGAACAAACACATTGATCTGCAAAAGCTTCCAAGAGATTCATGCGACGATACAGTTGATTCCTTTGGAGGAGTAAGGAACCCATACATCGCACCGGAGATCCCTGATGTTGTGGGCCACTACAGTTTCGAAAGAGAGGCAGCTGGATGTTGTTGGATCAGTAGCATTTGAATATTGTCGACGTCTATGGAAAAAATACATTGGTCTGCGAAAATTTCCCCAAGAGAGATGTTGGACGATACAATTGCTTCCTTGTTGCGACGATTGGACGTCAGTCGAAGACATACATCGGACGAAAGCAATTTCTCGGGGATACATTCGACGATAACATTCTTTTTTTGCCTTTGCGACGAATCCATACGTCCAACAGGGAAACCGCTGCGATGGAGAACTAAATCATCGAAAGATATGCTGGTTGCGACGGTTGGATGTTGTTGGTGTTGGATGCTGGATCAGTAAGATTTGGAAAATCTGGAAGTCTTTGACGCAAGTACATTGGACGACGAAAAGTTTCCAAGAGAGATGTTCGACTACAACAACAATCACCTTCGGAGGAATCCATACGTCGCACAGGCGAGTCCCAGCAACGGGGAACTAAAGTACAGTATCGAGCGAGATGTTTGTTTAAGCATTTGAAAAATCTTGACGTCTTTAGAGGAAAAACATCGGATTATGAATAACTTCCAAGAGAGATCTTTGACGACAAAAACAATTACCGTGGGCGGAATCCATGTTTATGCTTCTCGTGACAGCCCGGCAGCGTCCAATCAACAGCATCAGTCGATCGGGTGGTCAATCGTGTCGTTTTTTTACTGTTAATCGAAGGCAAATCTTGTTGTGATGAACGGACGTTGTCCAATCTGTAAGATTTGAAATATCTGGACGTCTTTGGAACAAATACATTGGACGACAAAAGACAAAAACCTCCAAGAGAGATGTTCGACGACACAAACAGTTGCCATGGGAGGAATCCATACGTAGCACAGGCGAGTCGCTGCTTGGGAACTACAGTATCGAAAGAGATCCTTGTAACGACGATGACGATTGGATGTTGCTGGATGTTGGATCGGTGACATTTGGAAAATCTGGCAGTCTTTGACGCAAGCTCATTGAACAACAAAACTTCCAAGTGAGATGTTCGACGACACAAACAAATTTCCTGTAAGGAATTTTCGCGACAGCGGGGCAGCGTGCAATGGACACGATGAGCCGATTTGGTGGTCATTCTTGTCGTTGTTTAACCAAAGGAAGACCTTGTAGGGATGAACGAACGTTATTCAATCAGAAAAGATTCGGAAAACCTGGACGTCCTTGGGAGGAATCCATACGTCGCACAGGCGAGTCGCTGCTGGAGGGAACTACAACATCGAAATAGAAGCTTGTTGCGACGATTGGATGTCGTTGGATCAGTAACATTTGGAAAATGTTCCTCCTATCTCCCTTCTCCCGGAAAAGATACTGGTCAGCCTCCGCTTACAAACCAGCATTAATACTGGCAGGTCAAAGTATAGGCTTGGAACTGCGTAGTGCAGCTTAATCCCCGATGATTGCACACTTCTGGTGTACCATCAATGTATGTACCATTGCAGCCGAAATCGCTGAGGAGGAGGGGCTAGAAAAAGGCAAGTATGGAATAAAAAGACCCCTTCCGGTCCCAGTGGCATGCACCTCAGTCACCATAAAGCCCCGAACGAACCTTTCCCCATGCTAAAGAACTATATCCCTACAACCAAAGGCACTGCCCCCATGTCAAGACTTAAGAACTGACCTCCTACAGGGACAACTGAACCTGAAGAATTATGCCATGCATCATTCATACTGCTACAATCGACGGTCCGAAGTCGCCACCTTCATGATCCAGGAAGAGCAGGAAACAATGAAGTCCACAGACTCAACGTCATACTCCTCCTGGGAGTGAAATAGTACCATCTGACACACCATTGCATCATCACAAATCAACCCAACCCTTGGCAGTTAGCAACCTTTCCCTCTCCTGATGGAAAAGGACGTAGCAACCGGTTTTTACATCCTTGTGTCCAAACTTTTGCAACACTCGCAAACAGTATTTCTGTTTCTGTCAGGCGACATACATTCGAATTCACATGAGATGGTCGATGCGGTTCTCTTTTATAACCAAACTAAAACATATTGCCGCATTGGGAAACAACCATCTCCACACTAAGCGAAGATAAACGTCTTTCTGTCTTTACGAAAACGCTCGAAAGGCAGTCAAAAACACCCTTCCAGCCTCGGTCAGAGCAACATACCTACCATACAAAATGGTTTGGACGATGCAGTTTCATTGTTCAACAGTTACAAAAACATCGTGTCGTGTCGAGAAGCAGTAAACTCCGAAAACGGTGGAGATAAACGTCTTTCGGTCGCCATGAAAACGCCTGGAAGGAAGTCAAGAACACCATTTCAGCCTTAGACAGGCAAGATACTTACGAGATATCATCCAATGGACGATGAAATTTCAGTGTGGTACCGTTTCGCAACATAATTTCGTATTGAGAAATAATCATCTCGGCGTACGGCGGAGATACATGTCTTTTGGTCTTCACGAAAACGTTTGGGAGGGAGTCAAAAACATCCTTTGTGGCTCTACCAAGAGACATACATGCGAGATTGCATGGAACGGACGATGTGATTTCTGTTTACTGTCATTATGCAAACGTTCTGCCATATTGAGAAACAACCATCTCGAAAGGCGGTGGTGATACACGTGTTTTGATCGTCAACGAAACGTTAGAAAGGC